TTCCCGTACTCCGCAGGCGGGTCATGCTCTATTTATCGGCACATTTCCATAGCCGAGTGCTGCAGTGCTGCTTCCTCAGGCCCTGCGACTTCCAGTGCCACGGGCTGTGCCAGCAAAACGGGACCGGGAACGAGCTGGTGACATTGGGAACAGCCCGAGCATCACCTCGGGCTCGTTGTGACACACACTGTGAGCTCGGTTCCCATCTCCAAACGGCCCTGAGACCCTCAGGAGATACCACAGCAATGGAAAATGTGGTTCTCCTGCCTGGTTTCCAGCTGGGCTTTGCCACTGTGCTGTTCAAGGTTTGGAGGAATGGGAATTGTGCTCGGTGGTCACTGATAGGGGCACCGGGATTTACCTGGTGTGAGGCTGTGCTGGAAGGAGAAGCTGCCAACTGCAGCCAGGGTTTTTTTTTGTGGATTTCCTGGGCATCACCTGCTCCCTGCAGCAGTCAGTGATGAGAAGGGAAGTGGGAACAGCGTCTGCTTGGGAGGCACGAGCACATCTGAGCACCAAACTGAGCTTTTAGACCCTTAATGAGAATACTGAAGGGCACCAACAGACCCCCTTGCCCCAGAGTGACACAGCACACGGCTCAGAGCCAGAAACTTTCCTGGGAGATGATAGAGGGAATAAAAACCATTCAAGGTTAATTTGGGCTTGATCCTGGTGGCATCTGCAGCTCCTGCATCCTGCTGCAGTTCCACTCCTGGCAGTACTGTCCCACAGTGACAACTGTGTTATAAAACCATGGACTCACAGAAGAGTTTGGGTTGCAAGGAACTGTAACACTCATCCCGTCCCACCCCCTGCCATGGGCAGAGGCACCTTCCACTATCCCAGGGTGCTCCAAGGTCCGTCCAACCTGGCCTTGGACACTCCCAGGGATGGGGCAGCTGCTCTGGGCACCTGAGCCAGGGATGGTTCTGCTGCTGGCTGTGCTGGCTCAGGGGGTCCAGGTGTCCCGGTGGGCCCGGCTGTCCTGGTGGCTGTCCCAGTGAATGTCCCGGTGGCTGGATGTCCCGGTGGCTGGATGTCCTGGTGGATGTCTCGGTGGATGTCTCGGTGGATGTCCCGGTGGATGTCCCGGTGGCTGGATGTCCCGGTGGATGTCCCGGTGGATGTCCCGGTGGATGTCCCGGTGGATGGATGTCCCAGTGGATGTTCCCGGTGGATGTCCCGGTGGATGAATGTCCCGGTGGATGTCCCGGTGGATGTCCCGGTGGATGTCCCGGTGGCTGGATGTCCCGGTGGATGTCTCGGTGGATGTCCCGGTGGATGTCCCGGTGGATGTCCCGGTGGATGGATGTCCCAGTGGATGTTCCCGGTGAATGTCCCGGTGGCTGGATGTCCCGG